AGGGAGAGAGATGTGTGTGTGTGTGTGTGTGTGTGTGTGTGTGTATGTGTGTCTGTGTGTTTATATATGTGTATGTTTGTGTATGTATATGTGCGTGTATGTTTGTATGTGTGTCTGTGTTTATGTGTGTATGTGTGTATGTGCGTGTGTGATGAGTGTGTGTGTATATGTGTATGTTTGTGTGTATATGTGTGTATGTGTATGTGTGTATATGAGCGTATATGTGTGTATGTGTGCATGTGTGTGTATGTGTGTGTATGAGTGTGTGTGTGTATGACTGTGAGTACGTATGTGTGAGTGTGTGTGAGTTTGTCTCTGTGTGTGTACGTGTGTGTATATATGTGTGAGTGTGTGTGAGTGTGTCCGAGTGTGTCTTCATGTGTGTGCGTACACACCTGATAATGTCCCCCGCCGTGGGTGAACTGACAACCGTGTAGATGATGTTCTCATCCAGAGAGTCCGTGTCGTGAGCCATCAACATGTCCTGGCTGAGCCGGCGAGTGGCGCCCTCGTTGAGCTGTAGGCCCAGGTTTGTCACCAGGTACGGGGCGGTGTCGTCACGTGGGATCACGGTGATGGGGAAGGAGGAGAGCACCGTGTTGTGGCCGTCGCTGATGCGCAGCTCGATCCGGTCTCTGGGGAGGACACACGGACGGTCTATTTATAGTCATGGGGAATACATGGGCGCTCTTTGTATAGACGTGGGGAAAACATGAGTGCTATATTTATAGACATGGGGAAAACACGAGTGCTCTATTTATAGACGTGGGGAACACACAGATATTCTATTTATAGACATGGGGAATACCCAGAGGTTTATTTATAGTCAATGGGAATGCACTTCGGGGGGGGAGAGAGAGAGAGAGAGAGAGAGAGAGAGAGAGAGAGAGAGAGAGGGGAAGAGAGAGGGGGGGGGTGTTGTTTATAAACATGGGATATACATAGGAGGTCTTATAGACAGCAGAAATTTAACATGCCTGCAACTTTGTGATCGCTACTGTCAATGTCGATGTAATAGCAATGGTATAGACTGTTTGACAAAACCTCTTATTGGTTCTGGAGTCTTTGCACTTTTTTCATTAGTTCTGTAGGTATGCTTAAAGTTGCAATAGTCTTCACGAGATAATACAAATGATGACACCAGTGTCTAAACAGACGTCTCTCTTGAATAAAGTTGCCATTTGTGCTATTCTTGTGATATCTAAATGTATGAAATCTTACAGAAACGTAGCACCTGGCGGTATATAGACAATATGTCGTCACAGAACCTACATAGACAATATGTCGTCAATATGTCGTCACAGAACCTATATAGATATAGACAATATGTCGTCACAGAACCTACATGTACAATATGTCGTCACAAAACCTACATAGACAATATGTCGTAATAGAACCTACACATAGACAATATGCCGTCACAGAACCTACATGTACAATATGTCGTCACATAACCTACAAAGACAATATGTCAGCACAAAACCTACATAGACAATATGCCGTCACAGAACCATACAGATAATGTGTCGTCACATACAACTCGTACATAACAGTAGTCTCTCCAGCTCGCGACAGCACCTTCCCGTATTAAATTTGCGCCAATAGCGCCACTACTCGAGAGAAAAACATGTTTGTCGACAAGAGAGCTTAACATCTTAAGGCTTGTCTCAAATATACCATACACCAGCACCACCGCCACCAGTTCAACTATCACCACCACCACCATCAACTCAACTTAACATCTTTAGGCCTGTCAAAATATACCATAGACCACCACCACCACCACCCCCATCCGTTTAACTACCACCACTACCACCATCAGTTTATCTACCACTACCAACACCACCACCACCACCACCACCATCGCAACCATCACCTCCATCAACCCAACTTAACATCTGTAGGCCTGTCTCAAATATGCAGTATATCACAGACTACCACAACCACCACCACCACCATCCGTTTAACTACCACCATCATCACAACCACAACCACCACCATCCGTTTAACCACCACCACCACCACCACCACCACCATCGCAACCATCACCTCCATCAACCCAACTTAACATCTTTGGGCCTGTCTCCAATATACCATAGACCACCACCATCACCTCCCCCATCCGTTTAACTACCATCACCACCACCATCAGTTTATCTACCACTACCAACACCACCACCACCACCATCGCAACCACCACCTCCATCAACCCAACTTAACATCTTTAGGCCTGTCTCAAATATGCAGTATATCACAGACTACCACAACCACCACAACCACAACCACCCTCACCACCATCAATCAACTAACACCACCATCTCTACCACCACAAAAAACAGAGTACAAAGAAATAGCCGGGGCAGACCACCAGCCAATGTCAGGCTGGCGTCACACACACACAAGTTGAAAACATTTTCGTGCGTCGTTGATGAGGAAAATCTCACAGATAGAAAAAAAATGTCCTGACAAGATGGGATAATGACAAGCAGGCAGG